TCATCTTACACTCATTATAATATTGAATTMAACTTAATGGATCTCGGATAGATCATATCCATGTGTGGGAGGTCTAGTAGTTCTGATATCATGGAAATAATCTCTGGTACTAAGGCATTTTAACTCTTCAGGCTTAACCGCTAACTTTCGTGTTTCAATCCAGGGCATAAGTGCGTTTAATTCAATTGCATTGTTTTACACAAATGAGTCATACAGATCACCCGCTCATATTGTATATATTACTTACGAAAAATTAAAAAAAAGGAACGGAATATTAAAACTGAGCTTTAAATCTTGGTTGACGCATGTGCTTTCAAACTGAAACAGCAGAAAATCTGCTGGAAAACATGGATGATGGTCCTCGTTTAGMTGGGCGCATACATACGAAGAGGAACGTGGGCTCTTGAAGAGTTGATAAGTTTGTTAATATTTTTTGATGAGGTGAAGATTATTGAAAGATGGCCTTTTAATTGCAGGTGGCAGTAGCTGGAGCTCCAGTAACTACATGGGAAGCCTACGACACTGGTTATACAGAGCGCTACTTGTGGACTCCTCAAGAAAATCCACGAGCATACATGATGAGCTCTATACTGTCTTACGTGCACAGTTTTCCMGACGAGTGAGTTTTGAGGGATCGGGTAATCTTCGAGTTACGCGCTTTCGAGTTATGCGCTTTTTGAAATATGCGCTCGACCACGCCCAAATTTATCTCGACCACGCCCAGCGCATAACTTGATGCAACTAACATAGCTTAGTGTATTCGAGGTACGTGCTAGGCGCGTAACTCGATGTAACTAAAATAGCTTGGTGTCTTCGAGTTGCGAGCTTTTAATTCAAAATCAATATAAAAAAGAGCTCATTGTTTTTGCGGCTTTTATTTTTCAAGCATTTAATTTTAAAATATCTTTGCGGTATAGTTTAAAACACGAGAGAGTGTTTTATCAGGTATATGCCTGATAAAACACTCTCTCTCGTGTTTTAGACCGCTTCAAAAACTCCAACAACATTTGAAACTCAAATCCGTTAAAATGCTTGGAGAAATTGGCGTAAAAATAAGTTTTAAGATAAATGGGGCAAACTGATCATGCGCGAATCACTTTATAAAGCACTCTTGTCATCCCACATTGAATACGCATAAAAGTAAAATAGAACCCCTGTTGGCTATTTACTGCAATCGGTTGACATCCTGCATTGGTCAATGATCAAGTATCAAACCTGAGACCTTTGCTAGGGTCATGGACCTTTATGTCTGATAATGGTTTATATAAAGAATACTAATAAGGAGTGTTTTGTCAGATATATATAAAGGTCCATGCAAATAGGCTCATTCTATTGGCCTAATAACTCATTAATTATGAATTAGTTTTTGAGGAGGACTCCTCAATTTAGAAAGTGGGAATCACCTGACATAAGGTATTGATATCATGCATAATGATACTAACGTCCGAAGAAAAGTCCTGGATGTTTYCCTTGTTCTTTCACCTCGAATTTTAGAAAAATATTCACAAGACATTATTGTTGTGTGACTTTGTGAAGAAATGGCGTTTATTTATAAATTAAAGAATGCATGTACATAKATTKCATTGGTAACGAGCTCTTTTTTATATTGATTTTTTAAAAGCGCGTACTCGAAGACATCTTATCTATGGTGCTGGCGTGGGCCGAATGCTAGGGAACTCCTCTATAAGAATTTAGTTTTATTTATCTATTAGTAGTCATCTTTTAGTTGAAGCTTTCTTGATAAAGAAAAACYTTCCTTGAACACTCACTGGAAAAAATCGCGCGCTTTCAAGGTTGTAAATTTGATGTAAATATGATGTAAGTGTCCAAAATTCTGTAAATTTGATGTAAATGATTTCCATTAAATTTACAGAATTTTACTTACATCATATTTACATCAAATTTACAACCTTTAAAGCGCGCGATTTTTTCCAGTGACTGGCTCACGTGCCTTGGAGAAAATTAACTTGTTTCATTAATGCGTATATGTGCATTTATAAATAGTATATTTTTGCGCTTTATGCTTATTCGCTGATGATGGAATTAATAGTCATGAGTAATGTTTTTAACTCGAAGATTGCGAAGAAATCGAAGAGTTATTGGAGGGGGGCGATTCTGTCACTCACTCAATCACTTAGTCACTCACTTTCCTGTAAACTTGAGCCTGCATTACTTGCGTTCAGGAGAACTATTAATTTACTCTCATTGTTTTCTAGTAATTTGCTCATTAATTTACCGTTACCGGGTTCCCTATTCTATGTTTGATTAAATTTATTTATTTTTTGGCAAAGAAAGAAATTTAAAGAAATGTCAGCTCCTCTGAGTCTCGAATCTCAGACCTCTGAATTAGAAATCGAAGGCACTACCACTTGGCCACGCGTACCAATGTCTCRAACCTCAGACCTCTGAATCACCCCGACCTGCTCCCAGTCTGGCCTTGTAGCTAGTACAAATCCGAAAGGTCGTGGGTTTATTTTGAAAGTGGAAAATATAATGATTTTTTCAAAATATTCTTATAAGCAGAATATTTTGCCATCTTGTGTTTTCTGTGTGTCAAAGGAGGGATAAAAGTATTTTGACATCTTCTAAAATGAAGTTTAGAAACTCCTTTAAGATCCAAGTCCAGCAAATATCAAGAAAAGCCATTCAAATGTTTGTTTTTACGTAATTTTAAAAACTTTTGAGCAGCGAATAAAAAGCGAACCGCACCGTCAAAGTTATCAAAAATCACTTGTGAAATATTGTGAAGAAATACAAACTTTAATTGGTACAAAAGGAGTACAGTTGACGCTGTAATTGCACCCCTCTCGACCAATGAAAACGTATTATTTTGTTGAATGTACTTTAAATAATAAAACCGAAATATTCCTATTCTTTAAGATCATGTATGTGTATTCATTTCTACAGTTGAATATCAGCTAGAAAATGAATATATTTAGAACTCCATCGATTTTGTTTTATCCAATCCTTTAGTGATGATTTCCTTTCTTTCTTCACTTCAATGTTTTATCCATTTCTTCTTMTTATTTTTTCAGGGAGGGTAGGCTCCTTCTAGTACATGGTCTTATTGATGAAAATGTCCATTTTTTCCATACAAGTCTACTAATTAATGAGCTGATAAAGGCTTGTAAACCCTATGGACTTGCTGTAAGTAAAGGAATTATCAACCATTTTGCTAATTTCAAGTTGCTAGTTTAAAGAGCATATGTTTAATAAAATGAACGTTWATAGGCTTGAAGATAACATAATTGCAAAAATGATATCATTTAAATCTCATATCGTTGAATTGAATGTGATTTCATTTCAGATTTACCCGACAGAGAGGCATGGGATAAGACAAACTGTATCATCAGAGCACTATGAGACCACAGTCCTATCGTTTTTACAAAAGAATCTCTAGTAAATTATCGTTTATTTTTATTACAGGTACCTCTTTAAATTCAGCTAGACATCGCGTTATCTTTTAAATAAAGGAAATTCGAATCGGTAAAGAAACATAGATGTCAAAAAAAAGTGTACTACTAAAATTATTTTTGATTTATGAGTAACCTGCATGCGCTCAGGTAACCGGCAAATCCGACCTACTAGAGAAGAGTCAAGCTATTCCATGTAATTTAGTGGACATAAACCGGCAAGTCCACTACAGAGATTCAAACTGGGGCCAGATTGAAAATTATTTAGTATCAATCCATAGGCCATTATTATTCAAACGTAAATCTTGCAACTCTGAGGAATTACCCAGTACAACAGGGTTCGTCTCGCAACTTTATTTGTTGATTGTAGCGTTGGGTCTACTTTTCGCAACATTTTTTCCCAAAACGTTTCTCGAAACTTTCGCGTCACGTAGCWGACGTAGGCTGTTGGAGCATGCACAAATTCTCATTTCGAATATCGACATCTTGATTCTTRCTCAAAGCTTAACTCAACCATAACATATCGCAAGTTACTTGGGAAAATTGCAAAGTGTATTAAGTTAAGTGTAATATTAACAAATTAGGAGAAACAAAGTGTGGTACTCTAAAGTGTGTTTTCACGGGTTATTGAATTACACTCTAAATACTCCATCAATCACTATGGAAGACGGAAAAAACTCAATTCTCGCTCATCCATAACTAATGAGTTAGTATTGCCCCTCATATAACGAAATCGTCAGGACACTGAGTCTAACTGCACGAATATAAAAGAGGCTGCACACCACACTGCTAAAGGCGTTATTCAAGTGAGATTAAGAAATTACCCTGTGGTATAATTACGTCACACCAAAACATCCCAGTGTTTTTTAACTCTTAAGGATCATGGTCGGGGGTTAGAATGGCTGCTTATCAAAGAAAATCATTGATATACATGGTATATAACATTGAGTGAAAGAATACTAATAGATCCAGATTTCCACTGTTTCTGAACATTTCTTCCAACGGTAAACATAGGGGATCAACATGCGATAGAGTAATAGTCCAATTTTGGTTGAATGGTCATGCACAAAAGAATTCAGGACGACGCTCGGGGCAAACCAAATAATTTCTATTGTTTTCCCGGAGACTCGTTTTTTAATTCATTTGTGCGTAGTTAGTCAACCAAAATATCGATTATTGGTCTTGTAGTCGAGTCTTCATACTCAGGGACAGTCGTTGGGTAGAGCAGATTTCGTATGACTGTGCAAGGGCACGGATCACAACACGCGAGCCATGGAACCCCGCCTTATAAAGAATCAACAATACATCACCGTCACGGCAAAGTCCAGACACGGCACTAAAGTGCAGTGTTTTTTTTGCACGGTCATACGAAATCAACTCTATACGTTAAAAARGTTCTAATATTATATAATGAAGACTTTTGTTAAATAAATAACCATTTTGCTTCAGTTTCCATGCTTTTATTTTTAAGAATGGGCCTGTTTRCACGAGACAGAGTGCCTCTAAAAAATAGACTCTTTACCGTATCCAGGCCGAAGGCCTGCGGCACGGTTATAAAATGCAGCGACTTTATCATCTTTATTATTACTATTTTTTTCCACGTCGTAGTTTAGCAATCCTAACGGACCCAKAGTTCCAAGGTTCGATCCTCGACTGGAGCACTTCTGAATAATTCTTTTTTTTTCTTTGTATACTATTTTATTTGTATATTATTTACCAAGCTTTCGGGCCTATCGCCCATTACATCCATTCCTCAAGGTTACAATGGTATGGAGCATAAAAACGGTTAGAAATTTACTAATACAAACAAATTATGCATGCACTTTCTTCTCGCTTTCTTGGCGGGTGAGAAAAGTAGACTGTTCGTAGAGTAAATCGTCCTCAGTGTCGGACTTTAAACATTACTTAAATCATTAGAAAACACTCCAGACATTCATCACGAAACCATGTAGGATTCCCTAGCAACACTCCACGACATGCCTTCTTAATATAGATTGGGATGAGGATCTGTCCATGTCCTATGTGTTCCTTGCCTGTGGTGCAGGCATTCCTCGCAGTTTCTCCAGTATACTTTTCTTTTCCTTGCCTGTCATTCAGTAAGTCATACGTCACAGCCAACACGGACCTTCTTTCTTGTCTCCCATTTTACACCTTTCTATGGACTCTCTAGCTTTTCTTTCAACACTCTTCCACTTCTTACTTCTATACATAGGTTTAATACCTCCCTAGGCGTCTAAAGCTCATCTTACTACCTCAGATCTAAATCTTTTTTCATACCCAAAGTATTGCAGTCGGATTCACCATCTCGTTTGCATGTTTTACATTACGTTGCCATAGTAACTCACCTTTGGTTATCAGACTTTTGATTTTATTTCTTTTTTGTAAAATCTGCAGTTTTTCTTGAATCAGTTTCGCATGTCAGTTCGCCGCTTCGTGGTCGTGCGATTTTGTAATAGAGCAGTCCACTTATTATGGTTATTATCCATATGAAACATCAGAGGTATCTGAGAACGCATTTGTGTGGTAACGTGGTAAATACAGTGCCGTGGAAAAAGAAGTCTAGTGGTAAGACTGACATCGGGTCTACACATCACTCGCATCCCAGGCCAAGTCTTCCCAAGTCTTTCACAAGATTTTAAACGCTTAGATCAAAAAATAGTTTTGTGCGGTCTTGTGATATCTTTAGAAAATTGTAAAAAGTCTCTATAACAACTTTTAACTGAATATTTGATCTTTATTTTCACGTCTTATACCGGTAAGAGGATCAATTTACGATATCCCGACTTAAAAAAATCTCCTCAAGACACCTTGAACATCAATCTTGGACTTATAGTTTTGACAATTGATCTTTCTGTGTAAAGCAAAAGTGAATATGCCCCTATGGATTGTGTGTTTCCAGATAACAAACAGGGGCGTATCCGTGGGGGGTCACAGAGTGCCCGTGACCCCCCCCTTTAAAATTAGGAAAACCATAGATTGATATGACAATCAACCCCCCTGGAAAACTTACCAGCGTATCATCATTGTTGGTCTGGATAAAAGAGGATAAATCAACTACTCCGACGGAGGATTAACGTCCGAAACGTCAGTAAGTTATTTCTCACCTACTTTTTTACGGTGTTCAATTTATCTTTTTACACAACTGTTTCTTTAGAAACACCGACGCAGCGCACACTAGTTTACCGCTAGTTCCCACCAACTGCTAAGAACGTATGATGAATAACGTCTTATTACACTACATGTATATGCGAATCATCCTTTCACTTGAGGTTAACCCAGAGAATTAGGAAAAAAACGATTCAAAACAAATTCTAAGTTGTTACTATAATTCAATTAATCATACCTATAATATCCTAAAAAACGATGATTGTAGGTTGGATGTAACTTCATAGYGTACTTTGCTGCATCAACCTTGGTGTTAAATAAAATAAAACCTAGCTTTCGACCTACGCGCTTTGTTTTGATGGTGAAGTTTTTATGTTATTGTAACGAGATTCATTGTAACCCTGAAGATGACCGCGTAGGTCGAAAGCTAGGTTTTATTTTATTTTAAGGTTGATGCAGCAAAGTACACTATGATCCTAAAAACGGTTTTTGTAACAAAAAGTTCCGATTTTCTCTGAAAAAAAAGACACACATCCCTTTCTTACAAGTTCATTCAGTCTTTGATGATGATTCTGTTTGCCGTTTTAAAACTATTCATGACTTTAATCAGACTTTTGATAGGAGACCTGAGTCGGGAGCAGCAGTCTTGACAAGTGCCTGAACTTCCTTAAAATTGGGGTGCTTGCTGTTGCCTAGAAGCATGAACAATACTGACTCACTTGTGGTTATAAATGCTCCACTCTGACGGAGGCGCTGAAACAAAAAAAATACTTCCTCTTACCAAGTTTACTCACTTCTAAGAATATCCTTCTGTAGATATTAAAAAATATAAATATTGTAAAATATACAACCAGTGAACAGACTGAAAAATTAAAATCGCAATAGACTTGATTTTGTTCATCTGATTTTCAGATTTTTTTTCTTGTGATTTTTCTTAATTTACATAATGGGCTTCTGTCTCTTTTTGATAGTCTACATYGTCTACTTCTACCGTGGCTACATTGGACAGTAATTTTTAGTTTTTCATCTACAAAGCAATAAATCATCCTTATCATAATTAACTTACATCAATAGCATACATTCTCTCCACCATTGTACGTGAAGAAACTCCATCAGCCAATATATGGACTTCATAGTTTCTTTCAAGTAAGTCTAGAGCTGTCTGCATAATACACACTTGTGTCTGCAGAGATAACAAAGTTAAGCTAGAGTGAAGTACAGAAAGGCCACCAAACCCGCAAAACAATTTGTTTTTATCAATGTAGTCAAATACACACAAAAGAAAACAATGCAATTGTAGCGTTCTAAGGTGTATTACTGTAATATCAATATCACTCTACAAAAACACTGTGAAATAGATTATTACACTAATATTGGTACATAATGGCATTGTTTCCCTTTGTGTCTATTWRACTGTCACACTGAATAAAGTTTTGACTTCACTCTATCATGTTATAATTTGAAACAACAAGTTGTCTTCCGCTCACTTGGTTGAGAGTCGACCATGTGACAAGATGGTTCCGGCTGCCAAGGAGTACTATAAGTAAATGGAGCCCTTTGCTTTTGAAAATTTTCAAATCCCTTTTTTTTGATAAAAACAGTTATGGCTGGAAATATGCTTCCTTCAATGTACAAGTTTTCTCATTTCATATGCATCATTCAAAGCAACAGTGATTCAAATTCCACACTTTTCCATACTTAAGATGGACATGATTATTAAGTGGTTGTAACACTGCAAAAATTAGACATCTTAATGTAAAACAACTGTTAGTGTACCTCAATCCCAAATAGTACCAATGATTTGACATTTGTCATTTTCTTCAACTCTTCGTCAACTTCAGGAGTAACCATTGAAAAAACAGTCTTTGTAAAGATCTTATCTTTAAATGCACTTGTATCAATCTCATTAACGGTGTTTCCAAGGCCTTTTGGGTACTGCTCTGTAGCTAAGATTGGTATCTTAAGAATGTTTCCTGCAGTTACCTAAAGAAAATTCAACATTTCACTTTTTTATTGACTTTCAACACATGAAAGGTGAAATGACCTGAAGGTCAAAGTATTGTCAGTAATACATAATATTGACACTTTGAAAATGTTGCTTGCTTTCAACAATGACTTGCATAGAAAGCAGTCTGTATTAGAATATTTCTTCAAATTCTCTGTTATTGTATTTTGACTTGTAGATTTGAGTAAAACTGTCTAAAAGTATATCCCATRATGCTTTCTGGGTTCATCTTTTTGTAATGACAAAGGTAATTGCAGTGGTACCCTGGGAACCAGAGGCTGGATTTACTCGTTCTTGTACTTTATTTCCTTGAGGCCGAAGGCCGAACCGTAAACCAGCCTCTGGTGGCACGGATAGMSAATCTCACTTCCATGTCAGTGTTTACATTCAAGATCTGAATGTTGCAGCTGATTGGTCCATTGATATCGGAGTGATATTATTGGCTGAAAAGTAAAACTGGTTTTTCACCGGATACTCGACGATTGATGAGCGGTCAATGCAACAAAGTTCTCTCAAATCAGATAATTCTTTGTCCTAAAAGTTTTAGACTTTCGAGGATCTTTTGACTTCCAAGTGAAGGTGAGACATATGTAGCTGTTCCCCGGGGGGGGACTCCCTAATATCAAAGGGCGGGGGTCCTCGGCGTCCCTTTTAGGGTTTGAAATCAGTATTTTGGTCCCGCTTAGGGTGATCATGACAAGAATTCCTACCAACTGTGTTTTGTGGTCCCTTTTAGGGTATACGGCGAACCCTAAGCAGTCATAAAATGGCAACGTCGTCATAWACTCAATACGAGCCGACGGTGTTCAATGATTGTGTAAAAACACAAATAAAATCGGTAAACCAAAACAAAATGACCTGTTATTGATTGGTCCCTTTTAGGGTTGAAATTTCAGCACTGCCGCGCCCATCATCTCACAATAGAGGTCCCTTTTAGGGGTCATTTTCACAATCTCCGCCGAGGACCCCCGCCCTTTGATATTAGGGAGTCCCCCCCCGGGAGCTGTTCGCTATAAATTCAAAAGCAAATATTTTCGCAAAAACAATATTTTTAACTTGTCTTTTCTCCAGATAATTTGAAATCTCCTGTCTTCAAATTCRAGAGACTGCTTTAATGGCATCTTCTGGGGATTTTGCTTAGTTTACATTCTGTGAGAATTCTGATACACGACAGAGATCAGTGACCCATAACATTCCCCATAACATATACATTTGATTCTGACAACTCATCACTCGTCGAGTATCTGATAGAAAACCGGTTTTACTTTTCAGCCAATAATATYGCTTCGATATCAACGGACCAATCAGCTGCAACAAAACAAATAAAGTACAACAACGAGTAAATCCAGCCTCTGGTTCCCAGGGTATTGCAGTGGATACATCAAGAAGTAATAAACCTATACATAAGCTGCACAATTGATAGTCTCTTCTAACAGCTACGACTTCCGGTCTCATCAAATTTCCTCCCCGAAAGTAACTTTCRGGGAGGAAACTTGACGAGACCGGAAGTCGCGGCTGTTAGAAGAGACTACACAATATTGAGGGATGTATTGGCTACATTATTGCTGATATCATAAATGCTTGGGCCAGTTTGCAAAATGTAACGGTATTTTTGTTTTGTTTTTGTTTCAACAAACCAAATTTGCAGACTTGTGATAAGGGTAAATACACTAAATAAAAATCTAAATAAAATCTTCATAACTCAGCACCTAATAAGTGTGCGCGGGGAATGGCTGGAAAATCTAAAAATAGCACCAAGAGGGGTAAATGCCGTCCCACAACCCCATTCGTGGAGAAAGGCTCCTAGTAATGGGCTCCTGCTTCCATGGATTCAATGTGGGTTTCCTGTGTTAAAGCTGGCGTCACCAAAGCTGTGATAGTAATGCCAGCTACAATGTAAAATACTCTCTTATTGTCTGTATAATACTATTGAAGCATCGCTGTTTATTAAATATCTGACTAGTTACCGGAAACTAGGTGAACTAGTCTAAAAATTCACCCTGCATGCTTGCTTCAATTCTTAAATTAATTATTTCGTTAAACTTTAGAATACCCTTTCACTTTCTGTGTCGTTCTTCTTGCCAGCATGCAAATCCAGAAAGTGACGGGGTATTCTAAAGTCGTTCAGTCATTTTATTTTTCTTTCTTTCCCAATGGGTTATAATAAGTTATCTATTAATAGATGCTTTTAAAGGGGGTAGAAAATTTAACTATCTTAACATCATGCTTACCATTCTTTGCGCAACTTTGATTATCTCAGGAAAGTAACGAATAGAAGGACGAAACTTTTCCTGCATATCACACAGAAGAAAAGCAGTGCTTTCGCTCGCAAGACGTCCAAGACGAACAGCCATTTTGTTGCGATATCCTTTTTCGGATGGATACGATTAGTGTGACGTCATTGGTATTATTTTTTAAGAAGACCGCTGTTTGTTTTTACTGCGGGCAAGTGTKCATTTTCGCGCTAAATTTTGATAGTTTATGATTGTAAAGAAGAGATATTGTTAAAATCGTCTCTTGAAAACTAATATTAGCAATGGGACAGCTAGTATCAACTGTATTGTCCTCAGTAGGATTGTATTCCTGTCCAAAATACTGCGATGATGTCCTCTATTTCAAGAAACTTGGCGATAAAGCGATAGCTCCAACACGAGGGTCTGTTCACTCGGCTGGCTATGACTTGTATAGTGCTTACGARGTGACAATCCCAGCTCAAGGAAAGGCTCTCGTAAAGACTGATATTTCAGTTGCTATACCTGATGGATGTTACGGCAGAGTAGCACCAAGGTAAATTAGTTGCCGAGTTGTTCAAAGAGTTGATTTAATGTCAGTTGTGTACGGAAAGAGACCTCCTCGCCCCCATCTTCCGGACAAACCCCACAAAATGCGCGCCAATTAATCCAAGTTAATGMACTAGAATTTAACGTTTGAGTGGTGTTAAAATAAGACATTTCCCTCGGTAGTCGGGGCACATTCATTATTAAWATCCCCGCTTCTGTTRCCCCGCTATTTTGGTCAAGTAACTTAGTAAATAACAAAACAAACACCTTTCAATCAAATTTTCTGTGATACACAGGGTTAATTTTTGTATAATTCTGTGTACTCATTTGCGTACTATACATGTGGCTAACTGGACGGAGAAAAACGTGTAATAAGTTTCTTTTTAAAAAAAATCATGCAAGAAAAAATAAACAAATAAACAAGCGGGGATTAATACCAATGGTTTCAGGGTATTTCTGAAGATGGCAAACATCTAGTTTCCAGCCTCATACATGTTCAAACGAGAGTTAAAATCCCCGCTCTTTGCCCCGCTTCGAAAACAATTCATCAAAATCCCGACCCCCCGGGCAATCTTGCTGTTAAAAGCACGTTAAAAACGCGTCACGTCCGCGTTCAGTGCCCCGCTAGGGTTTCAATTGACTAGTGCATAAAGGTCCAGTTAATAAATTTGGAAAAAATTAATTTCCAACCTCGATATAGAAATGAAAGAAAGTTATAGTGCTTAGAAGGAGGCAATTCCGGGAGAAGTCCCTTAGGAATAAATTCGGAAAAATTAATTTCCGACCTCGCTGGGATTCGAACCCACGACCTTCGGATTTGTACTACCGATGCTCTACCAGCTGAGCTACAAGGCCAGACTGGGAGCAGGTCGGGGTGGAATAGGAAAAAATTAATTAATTTTTCTGAATTTATTCCTAAGGGTCTTTCTCCATAATTGCCTCCTAAGCACTATAACTTTCTTTCTTTTCTATATTGTGTCTATCATAGTGCCATGCGGTCTTCATTCATATCTTGGATAGGGTAGTTTTTTGTCTAGGATAGGGTATAGTCTCATTGTTTGGGGTAGAATGGAGTTTTTCCTGTGATCGTATCTGCTAGGCCACACATTCAGTGCTAAAATAATGTAYCTTTGCACGTTTAGTCTGGGATAGGGTAATGATTTTGAGGGTCGTGCGGCACATGTTATCACGTCTTTTCTTACAGATCCAGTTTGGCTTTGAAGTACCAACTTGATATTGGTGCTGGAGTGATTGATAGAGATTACCGTGGCAATGTTGGTGTTGTTATGTTCAACCTTGGACAAACAGATTATCAAGTTCATCAGGGAGATCGTGTTGCACAACTTGTTATTGAGAGAATAAGTCTTCCATCTTTGGTYGAGGTAGAGGTGAGTTTTTATAGGACAGGACTCATGGCACAAGGACACAAGAACCYTGCATACATAAACTTGTCATTGGCCAAGAGAATAATGTTGTGAGAGTTGCACATTCGTGTACTTCATATAAGAAGCTGCATTTCGATGAGATTAGACCACATTTATAAAGGGGTTGAGCTTGTACAAAAGTAGTGTACTAATGTACTTGTACAGTACTATAAAACAACTTTATGATAGTTTCTCGTGGTGTGAGGACAAGAGGATATACCACAAGAAACTTTTGTAAATAAAAAAATTCTACAATAACAGAAAAAAAAACAACAAACAATCTTTTGATTTCTATTTACCATGGTGCTTAACCAATCAGAAACCTAAGAAATTTACAATTGTGGTAAAAAAGGTTATTTTATATGGCACTTAGTTTGTAGCTGGATCTGAGAGACATGGGGATCTCCATATGAACTTCAGGGTTCAAAAAAAAATGTTGAAAACTTGAAATTAAGCACTTAATACCTTGTGTCCACAGACCTACAGGTTAGGATATAACATGTGAAAAAKTCTAAATACTATTTTTAGGGCATTTTCTATAATTCAGAACAGTTCTTCTCCTGTGGTCAATGACAAGAATTCATGATAGAAATTAGGTAACACCTTAAATTGTGGACCACCATAAGGAGATAATGTTTATCAGAATCCACTTTATAACTACTTCAAGGCAATTCAGCAAATCAAAAGTTCAATTATATATGAAATGAACTGTRAAAAGCAGCTGTCTGAATGTTCTGCAAGAAAATGAGAATCATTGAGCAAATTCTCATTTGTTTGTCCTAGGTTGAATTTCAATATCATGATAAAATTCCCATATCACATTGAAATTACAGTGTAAAGAGATAACTTTCATGTGAACACATAATCATTTAATGATATTTCTTAATCAAAACTCATTTTTAGATCCTTAAACATGTGAGTTACCGTATTATTAGACTTTATCTAAGTTATCTGATATAATCTTTATGCACGCTCAGTTGAAAGAAAGGAATGATTTTCCTTTTTAAGTTATATAAACGGCTCTCCCAGGGATTTTATTACCATTGATTTTGGTGCTTTATGGACTTTGATTTTTGGAATATACATAGTGAGAATTTGATTTTTTTCGCATGGTTTAAGGGTTTCCTATGGTGGTACATGGATGAACAATGTGCATACAGGTGGGAACCCTGTGTCGGTTTATGAAAAATCAACTCGATGGTTTAACATTTTCCGCTACTTATAATGGTTTTCATGGTCAACAATTCAAATACGATACCCATTAAAATTCTTAGACTTAGCTAGAYGTGTTGCTTATTTCACCTGTTTTTAAKCAAAATCAGAGTTTAAACATGCACTCTCATTTTATAAAGAACACATGACCTGAGAGTTGCTGATTATTGTATATTGTGTTTTTAGGAACTAGATGATACAGATAGAGGAGCTGGTGGATATGGATCAACTGGAAAATAAAAGCTATAATTGTATTGTATCTGTATAGAATATCCATGTAGACTCCATAAAAGCTGCTAAGGTGTGATCTTGTGCACCTTAGAGTAATGCTTGTAAAGTGTCTGTTCATGAAAATTTGTAATGTATAAAGCATGTGCATGATATAGGCTTAAGTATCATACACATTAAAAAGCATTAATTGAACTCATTGCCTCTCTGATAATCGTTGAAGAATCGTTTTTCCTGATTTCTGTTATTTGCACATAGATTCAAATGCAATTTTGAAGATTTTCATGACAACTTAGCATTAAACATCACTAAGCAGTAACAMAGAGTTGCCATTGACTCCCTCGAAAAAAAACACAGGTCATCACACAGGAAACCCAATATGACAAGACATGTACAAAGAGACGTACAGGGGAAGATGTGAAATTTACCAATAAATCTGCAGAATAATGATTACAYATCCGAAAAAAGTGGGTATTCACGGAATTATCCGGAACCATATCAACAAGCATGGAAAGTGCTTTGTAYGGGTCATTCACTCATTTGTTTCATGAGGGTGYCAGTGGGGGTACCCAAAAGTCTACTAATGTTTGGGTCAAAAGTCAATTAACTACCATTTTGACCAAAAGTCAGTTAACTACTAATGTTAGATAGGCATCAGCTTTTGGTCTCTTGTATCGAATCCTATTGCTTTATAAATTGCATTTCGACCTTTGTGGCCGTCCCATCATTCATTCTATAGAAACCAACCATGGCCTTGACAAAGCCAGCCCCGGGGGGAAGGGGGGGGACTTCCTAATGTCAAAGGGCGGGAGTCCTCGGCGTCCCTTTTAGGGTTTGAAATCGGTATTTTGGTCCCGCTTAGGGTGATAATGACGAGAATTCCCACCAACTGAGTTTTGTGGTCCCTTTTAGGGTATATGACGTCCCTAAGTAAATACCAATGATATATTGAATTGAACGACAAATTACAAAAAGGCAAACGATTTGTATGTGACAACATCGTCACAAACTAGATACGAGCCGATGGTGTTTGATGTTTGTGAAAAAAAAAACAAATAAAATTGGGAAACCAAAACAAAATGACCTGTTATTGATTGGTCCCTTTTAGGGGTGAAATTTCAGCACTGCCACGCCCATCATCTCCAAATACAGGTCCCTCTTAGGGGTCATTTTCATAATTTCCGCCGAGGACCCATGCCCTTTGATATTAGGGAGTCCCCCTCCCGGGAAGCCAGCCATGTCTGGACAACAAGTTCAATGCTCGTGAGGATAGCTTGAGTGCTCGCGAAAAGTGACATGTGTATCAGAGATTGACTACTCAAACATACCCAAAAAACTGTTGGACAGAAGATTTTTAATTAAAAGATACGCACATGGCAGGAACCGCGACACATATCTTGGATTGGGGGGGTAGCGGCCTCTGAAGGCGGGAGTTTTAAGGGGGGTCCTCCCACAGGAAATTTTTAAATAATAGAACTCTTGGAAATGCGATTTTCAGCGTGTTAAGGGGCATCGAAAACGTATAAAAAGAATCAAATCCTGACAATCTTAATATTTCCTTGCCACTAGTACGCACGTGCGTATATGGGTAAAGGACTTTACGCGCCAGAATTAAATGTTTCTAAGAAAGTCAGTTAAATATACGATTTTCATTAGTTAACTACTATTTTTTGGCCAAAAAGTCAGTTAACTACTGTAGACACGAGTACTTTGTTTTGTTTTCTATTGTTTTGTAAGTWAGAGCATTAATGTGAATTCCAGCGTGTAAGTCATTTAGTATATGAGTAGTTCGTTGTATAATATCCACTGTCACAGTCGAAGTCGAAGTTACCACAAATCTTGTAAGTAATGTCGTTATATTTTTTCCGTTTTTTGTCTTGTAAATTTATGTATAGTTTAAAACACGAGAGAGAGTATAAAGATTYGAGCCGAAGGCGAGAATCTTTATACCTGATAAAACACGATCTCGAGTATTTTAAACGGCTTAAAAAACTCCAACACTAATTTGAAACTCAAATCCGTTAAAATTCTTGGAGAAATTGCCATACAAATATGTTCAGAGATAATTGGGGCAAACTGATCATGCGCGAATCACTTTACAAAGCACTCTTGTCATCCCACATTAAATACGCATAAAGTAAAATAGAAGGGCTCTTGGCTGTTCACTGAAATCAGTTGACATCCTGCATTGGTCAATGATCAGGTTTCAAACCCKAGACCTTTGCTAGGGTCATGGACCTTTATATCTGATAAAGGTCACCCTTATTAGTATTCTAATATAGAAATACTAATAAGRAGTGTTTTATCAGATATAAAGGTCCATGCATGTGACCAAATAGGCTCAWTCTATTGGCCTAGTAGCTCATTAATTATGTATGAGTTTTTTAAATAGTTATAGTAACACCGATTGCAATTGTTTATTTGAAGTAAATGAGATGTTATGGACTTTAAATGGATGGACTGTGGGCACAGAATGTTTTATTGATTCATTCATTGATTTCATGTTTTTGTGTATTTCTTTCTTTCATTTCACAATCCACTTTATTATATTTGTTATTGTTATTATTTATTTTTTGTGTGTTCCGGGGGCGCGTTCCGGAGTGTTCCGGCGGTGTTCCGTGTTTTGCAGATACCTAACTCCAACGGCCTTAAACTCTTTAAATCAATTTATGTCCTCGAAGGACAACCCCCCCCCCCCCCCCCCCCAAACACGATAAGTCAGTGCAGTAACTATTCATCTTTATTAGATATATTCAGGCATAAGATTAAATCTAACGCTATGATATTAAATCTTGTCTTGGACAAATTGACGACATTTATATTTACAGTTATATTTGATAATTATAATAGTCTCCTTCACGGTCCCCGGCGTCATCTTGAAAGGTGGCCATGCCATTGCATCGAGGTGAGACGACAGTTGAGAGTTGATGAGTGTGAACAAAGCTTTCTATCATTGCAGATAGAGTGTAGATAATAAGASTGCAAATTTAACTTTTGAGTTGCTAATGTAATATTTAAAAAATATGTTATTATTTACATAGAGATCCCTGTAGGGACACCTGYCAGCGGTCTTGATACAAGGATCAGTAATAAAATAGTTCAATTCAATAATAATATAATGATTTTCAATGTAATATGATATATTTATTTCCACTGCCAATTCCACCCTTTATAAAGGATTCCTGATTGAWTATTTGCGCCAAGGTCACATCGTACTRCACACTGCACTTTTTACTTTACTGTTCTTGGAGAGAGTGGAGTTTTGACGCTGTTGAAATAGAAGGAAATCCGTATTTCATTTTTGCAAMCACAAAGACACTTTTACTGGCATGTTTCAATTTATGCCATTATTAGTGTTCGAGTACACTATGTTTTGAAAAAAAGGTCGTGTAATTTGAATACTGAAAATTAAAAGAGAAACAAGAAAAAGTCAGTAATATCTATATACATATCATTTATATTTTCAATCAGAAATCACATGCTTTATACTGCTTGCAAATAAAGTAAAAATATTACTTTTCTACACGAGAGCAATGCTGCAATCAAATTACAAGACAATTCTAAGTAAACAATAGTGTAGTTGAATCAAGGGCATTTGCGAAAACTGGATATTCCCGGAAAAGCAAATGGTTGCCTGAGAACGCAGTTTCAGTACGAGTATGAAGTTTCAGAGCTTCCAGTTTACAACATCACAGCAAAATGCTCGAGATTTCAACTACTCTATTTTTTTTATTATTTAACAACTTATAACATTTTTTTAAGGTGACGGCG